CAACCAGCCTTCATCCATCGCAGTCATTGTGTCGCCTCTCTGCCATTGAGTCTTCCCCCAATTCCCCCAGTTCAGCTCGCGATGACAAACAGCTAATTAATTTCCCTGACGCCAGGAGAAGCAAGACTCAAGCTGTGGAGGAAGACTGCCCTTAGCAAAAAAGAAGAAGGAGAAGTGGAGAGATTAATTCATGAAGCCTCTTTTTTTCCTTTTTTTTTCTCCTAGTAGTATTTGCATGAGGAGTTCTGGCTGTGGACTTCACAACGTGCTGTCCTCACCCTCTCTCTCCCCACTGCTCTCTCTCTCACACACACCAAACACACCTCTAATTCACATTCACCTCCTCATCGTCTGTATCTTCCTCAACTTTAGCCTTTGGCGCTCTCCCTCTCCAATGACCCCATACATCAATATGAAGCAAAATGCATACATTACACTCATTAATATTCATGTTAAACTCACTATATTCATAAGAATTAGAGGTAATATAATATGAGGACAAAGCAGGAATGTGGCTCTGGTTTTAATGACCACAGGCTAAACTTGGCCTACCTGTTGAGCTCGTGTCTGGAGACTCTTAATGCAGGACAACAGAGCTGGTGGAAATTTAGCTTCAAATAAAGGGAAAGAACAAATGATATTAAAGTGGAGTCTGATTAAATATCCACAAAAAATCTTGCTAAAGTAAAGCTTTCAAAGACTGAGAAAAATCAGTCAAAAGCAGGTCATTTTGCTAGTAAGAACATTCCTCCAGGCTGTGTGGGTGCAGCACATCACCTCTGATTGATAGCCACCTGACTCACCTGCAAAGCAAAAATGCATGTGATGATCAATCTTATGCAGTCCCAAACAGCTTGTTTTAGTGATCTGAGTCAAAGGTATAAGATTAAAAGAAAACAAGTGTCCCAATTCGGCCATCCTGGACAGATGAGGGTGAGAGCAGGGACAGGGGTGCAGAGGTCTTATCTTCACATTCAGAGGCAAATTATGAGCAAAGTGCACAAAGCTGAGAAACTTTATAGGTGTGTTTGAGTCTGACCACCATCAGGACCTGCATCTTAGTCCCTCCCTCCATAGATGCATGGAGTGTTGCAAGGAAATAAGGACAGCGGAGACACAAGACATCCTTTCTTGTGGAGCAGGGGGTGAAGTGATGCTCTGTTTTTGTGTTGACACCATCAGCTGATCATTTCTGGATCAGCCTTCAGTCACTTGTTTGTGTATGCACGAACTAAATCTGACTCTGACTGAGCTGAACTCTCGTAACTCACACTGCAGTATTTGTGGCTGATCTTCTACTTCTACTGCTAAAAAGTTTGCTATAAATTTTCTGACTCTGAAATGAAACCAATTTAAGTACTTTTCAATACCAACCTCACACACATTAGAGCCTGCATGGCATAGTTTTAAGGATATCATGAATCCATGTGTCTTGCATCTTTGCCCAAGCATGCTATTGTTAAAAAGGCAGACTAAGAAAGTGGACTAAGAAAGTTTCCAGAACAAAATGAGGGTCTCTTTGCATTTTTAAAATCTTTCCTTAATCATCTGATGGAGATAAACTACTTCAGCCCTGCCTCTTTTTTCTTAAAACAACAGAAAAGAGGCAATTGATCTCATTATGCCACTGCTGAATAGCTTTATGGTCTCTACATCGCTGCCCTGCCTACTCCTCTGCTTTATCTGTATTAAGATGTATTGAATTCTCTTTCTCCACCTCACGGATACAGAGAGGATGTCTATGTTTCCAGTCTGTCACATAAAACAGGCCATTATTATTTCACACTCAAAATGATGTACAGAAAGGTTACTTTAGTGAAACGATCGGCTCTTTACTTTTAACGAGTGCATATATCATAAAGCAATCTGAGGGCAATAATCGTTCATCATTATTGAGACGACGATGCTGCTTCAGGGACCTGGCGGCAGAATGGAAAACAGATTTCCTTCAGGCTGGGGTGGAGGTGCGGTCGACTTTCTTCACTCTGCAGTAGAAAGAAACCTGAGATTTTATATTTTCTAATCCATCTCATTTTTTTCTCTTAATTCTTAAAACACTGCAGCGTCCTCAGAGGCTGGATGCTCTGAATACCTCCCTGGCATCATTTCTCTGTGCTGTCCTTCGGCTTGTTTTGATGAGGGATTAAAGTAAAGTGTGGTTGTATGAAGAGAGTAAAAGTGCTATTAGTTCATATACTTACTCAGAAATAAAGTATAATGTTTATATGAACCTGCCTTTTATAATGCAAAAACATATTTAAAAAGCCTCTTTAATGCATTCATAAATTTATAACAACCCTTATGATTGTTAATAAGCATTCATAACAAATTAACAGCCGTGTTAATGAAGTGTTTATGAAGCAGTGAGAGTAATGCCTTACAAAGGTATTGTTCATAATACCTCATACCTTAATATTAAAGAGAAAAAAACATGGTCTTTTGAATTCTGGGTGTCAAGCACATAGGTCTACAATGCAATTACATATATGGCAACCTTTCTTCTTAAGAATCTATATCTTGTGTATGTTAGTCTTTAGCTACGTTTACATGGACCTCTAATTTTCAGCATAAAAGTCTGATCAAGATCTGATCAAGCATTGTTTAAGAACCTCAGTCCAGGAAAACTAATTCACTCGGCACATTTGGAGAGAAATGTCAGGTCAGTATTCATGTAAACACTTGATTCGACTATTTACTGCACATCTCCCCTATGTGAGTTTCTGCTCAAGTTTTTGCCTGGATGGATTAAACCCTACATAAATTGCCAAATCCGATCTGTATGAGACACAGCTTTTAAGAGAAATTAAGAGCAGGCTAATGGGTAGCATGTGTGAATCTCCTCAGCTGGTGAGTTCAATGCAAGCTGCTGACTACTATTCTTATATCATCTATGTGTTATTTTATATTCAGATTAGCAATGGTTTGATATTGCATCTTGTTTCTCATAAAAATAAAAAAAAATAAAATACAGTATTCCCATAAGATTAGGATCTTAAACTGTTAGATTTCTGTGTTAGATCTCATAAACTTACAGGTTTTTCTTATAAATTTACAATTTTTTTCCTGTGAATTTATGACTCTTGTTTGGTAAATTTATGAGTTAATCTTTGTATGTGTACAACTGTATTCTCATAAATATACAACTTCAGTCACATTCATTTATGCCCTCAGTCTATTAAATGTGAAACGTTAATCTCATAAATTTACAAGTTTTTTCTTGTTCATTTATGACTTGAATCTAGAATTTCATCTTCAATATTCATCTTTAAAATAACACATTTATCCTATAATCCTTAACTATATAATCCAATCTTAATTCTTATAAACTTGACTTTTTGTTTTACAACTTTTTTCTTCTAAATTAATGACTCCATTCTTGCAATCTTTATGTTTTTTATCTTTACTTTTCATTCATAGAAATCATTGTAAGAGGGTGTGTACGTGTAAATTCTATTCACTAACCACACAGGGATGAAATGCTTCTCATATGATCATCTTTCTTGTTAAATTTAGTCAAAAGGTGTCGATTAAAAGTGTAGAGGAACATGTGTACTATTTATTACACTTATCAACACCTAAACACCATTCATAGGTTTTTTTATTTATTATAGTAACTTGAAGGTTTTATCTGTCTGAGAGTAAAGAGAGGGATGGTGTCAGTGTGTGTGTGGGTGTGTGTGTATGTGTGTGTGCTATAGTATGAGTGTGTGTGTGTGAGTGTAAGAGTCCCTGAGCGTGAGGTTGTTGTGCTGTTTTTTACTGCGCTCCAGCCTGCAATTGAGCCAGACTTTCAATTGCGGTGGCGGCGGTAGGAGGAGCTGTTGGGGTGGCTCGTCACCCTGCTGCCATGAGCTGGGAGGCTGGGAGTCAGGGAAGGTCCTGATCCTCTCCCCTGGGGCCCAGGGGCCCTGCAAACTGTCACCTCTTCTTCCTGACGCTGCACACCTGAGGCTCCCTGCGCTGCTGCCATGGAACCCGCCCCCTCCTCCTCCTCTCTCCACCCCATACCCCCTCCCCACACCTCCCTTCGCCCCCCCTCCAGCCCTGCTACCCTGCAGCCTTGCACCCGCCGGCCCTGCTGACATTATACAGCTCACAACGTCTGTCTATACGCGTCCACTGATCAATAGGCTTGACTCCGAGCACATTGACGCTGGCATCGGCCTCATTGATCACATCCAGCCTCCATGGTTGGGTTTTCAAAGATAATTGGGCCCAGGAACCTGCCTCCTTATGAGTGACAGTGGGCTGAAATGATAATCAACTGGATCCAGTCCAAGTACAATCCCAGCAGGACTGGCTGGACTCGAGGCAGGCAGCAGGGTTTCCTATTTTTAAAAGGATCTTTTAGTGAAGCTGTAGCCTCTAACAGCCAATCAGAAATCCTAAATACTGTAGTTAGAGCTGCTGAAACACGCTCTTATCACACTTTATGACATTGTGTGCGATGAGAATGAACAAAAAAGGTGTCACTGTGATAAATTCAGATTAATCTCTGAATATTTTGCTATAAAAATCATACAAATGTAAAATCTAAGCTGCTAATTCAGGGAAAAAAGTGCAACATGGTGCACATGCATGCAACCCCCCAGCCCTCTGCCCCCCAGACTGAGTGAGAGATGATGTAAGGCTTTAATAAAAGGCCAGCCAGCTGATATTGATATTCATTATTACATGGCCTAAGCTAACCCCATTATGTTCCCATTAGGGCTAATAACATATACAGCTAACTCATTTGTTTCATTTAGCCACTCTGCATATACAAAATTAAATGACACCGGCAGGTGACAAAAGGAGACAGAGCGGTTTCAATTGATTCGAGCGCATTTTCAACTTGTGACGCTGCTCCAAAGGTTTTAAGAGAAAAGAGAGTCATCTGAATATCAAAAGAGATCTCTGGTGCATAATGAGCGCGCAAAATCAATATTTCATATGTGACGGTTTATACTGGATTGTGTGTCAGGCGGTTCCTTTTTTTTTTTTCTTCCTGACACAGATTCTTAGCTGTTCCCCAGCAGGTAGCCACAACGCAGCATCAGCATCAGCACCAGCACCAGAATAGCTTTGTGAGGTATAGTGGAGGAGCTGGTGAACTGGGTGAACGACGGTGAGCCCAGGGCACAGGCCTACATATTCAGAGAGAAGAGGACTCAACCTGCTTTTGGAGGATGAAGGCTACTAAAAATAAGACAGAGGAGCTGGAATCACAGAGACAGAGAGAGGGAGAAAGGGAGAGGAGGAGCTGCCATCAGCAGGCTGGGCTGGGTTTTTGCCCCTCGTTGATTTAAGCCAGAAAGCTCCCACATCTCCTCTGCGGCCCCTCTGCCCCTGCTGCCCCATCTCTGAGCCCAAACCCCCTGTGAGATGCTGTGCCCCTGTGCTCAGGCTGTCAGGCCAGCACACCAGCTCGCTACCGAGAGGCATTATGCTAATAGGAGGGCCTCGTTCCCTCTCTCCCTCTCTCTCCGCGGCCCTTCACTGCTCAGTGGATCGGCTTGCCTTAGGGCCCTGCTGCTTGTTTTGACAGAGCATCCCCTGATAGTTGGGATTAGTCCAGCTTGTTTGGCTAAACTAGGAGAGGGGGATCTTAGGCTACTTTGAGTTTTTGGAGCTCCGCTGGAGCCAGATGCCTCCTGCTTTTATCCCCACCAGGAGAGGGCCTGCACCCCCCAAGGCCTGCCTACAGCCATGGGCAGCCATAACCATCCAGGCAGTGTCAGGACCCATGCTGCACACACATACACATACACACACACACACGCAGCAAAGAGAAACACAACACTTCTGCTCACACAAATACACACACTCCTCATACCATATCCAGAAGACAAAATATTCACAGCACATAAATAGTCATGCAAAAGCTAAGAAGAGGAGGAAGACGCAACCCATAACCATCACAAGCCTCCTGTGATGCAACCTGCAGATACTGTAAAGAGTTCTTCCATGTTCCAAGTCAGAAAACACAGATATCCAAAACAAACATGAAAAACATTTGAAGCAAAGCAAAGAGAAGACAAAAGAGATTAAGAATCAGAGTGGTTGTTTAGATCTCTCTTTCTGGTTGCAGTTTTCCTTGCAGGATGGAGGATAAAACACCAGGGTCCCTGCACTTCCCAGGGAAACCTTACATGAGGAAGTGGTGTTTTACGGCTACATTCCTGCTCTACATTAATGGAGGCGTCAGGCGGCCATCCCTTTGAGAGGCTTGAACCTCTCTATTAAAGTGGCTGACCTGTGGTCGGCGGTTCAAACAGCCGGTATGCACATTAACGTCACATTCCCAGCATTAGCGTCTGAAGAAGGAGGAAAAGAGAATAAATAAGAGGAGGTGGAGTGATCTCCCTTTCAGCAGCCATCCCCAACAGGAGGCCCAAGCTATATTTTATTCACTAATGTCAGGTGGGTTCAGGCACACTCAGGGTCGTCCTCAGACTGGCCTGCTCTGTGGTTTTCATCGAGGTCAGCTGGATGAAAAATAGAGCTATCCCCGTTAGATCGGCTACAAAACACTGCTGCTGAGGCAAAATGCACTGAGAGGAAGATTTAAGAGGAGAGGAGGAGAGGGAAGGGAAGGAATAAGCAGATGGGACAGGAAGGATGGAGGAGATGATATAAAGTAAATGCAAAGATAAAGAAGTGGAATATAAAAGCTTCATTGAATTGGAAAAAGATGATGGTCAACAGAAACATAAAGGATGGGAATAAGTGGAAGAGGTAAAGAAAAAAGGAAACGAGATGTTATGAGAGGAGAAATGAAGACAAGGCAATCAATAACAAGAAAAAAGGCCTGAGCAGAGGAAAGATTACGTGATGGAGGGGAGGAAAGAGGAAGAAGAAAGTGAGAGAAAAAGGAGGAAGGGTCTCAGGAGGGCCAGGTCATGGAGGCCCAGGGGTGATGTCAGCCTATTAAACTGATTTCACAGGTTCCCTTAACGAAGCCTCTGGCATGTTAAAGGGCAGGAAGCATCCTATTTCAGCCTTTTCTTCCCCTCCCCTTTAAAGCTGAGCGAGTGCGGGACTTATCGACAGCTCCTGACAAACAGGCGTGAAGGAGGGCAGCTGCTGGGGCGCTCCTCTCAGGACCCAAAACACAAGGTGGTTTTCAGTGGCGGACCTGCCGATCTTCAAACCTCAGCCGAGCTCCGTCTCATCGCTCCGCACTGCAAGGACAGAAACCTGATCCTGACTGCTGAGCTGCGGAGTTCGACTGATGAAGGGAGTCCACGCGGCTGCTAATATTTCTGGAAAAAGCAACCGTTCGCACTTTAGAATTCCTCAGAGTGAAATTTAAGACAAGATAAGAAGAACTTTATTGATCCCTAAAGGAAAACTCAATTTAATTCAATTTCTTTTTAAAAGAGTTGGTTGTCTTTTAATTAGAGGGTTGATCTCAGCTCCTTCAGTCACATGTCTGAGTGTCATTGGCTAAGACACTGAACCCCAAATTAACCCTGATGACAAAGCCAGTGGGATGTTCGTCTGTATGAAAAGTGATAAGTTAATACTGTTCTCTGCACATCCATCAGTTTAGTTTGGGTCCACCACCAAGCAGAACAGGAACAGACTGCAATGAACTATCAGGACTGCAAAACAAAAACAAAAACAAAAAAACACTGGGGCCAACCTGCCCTCCATCAAGGACTTGTGTTGCGTTCCAGTTGTACTCGGAAGTCGGAATTTCCGAGCTCTAAGTCAGAAATTCATCTGGAACGACACACTGAAGTCGGATTTCCAACTCGGAAAGTCGGACGATCCTCACCAACCCCGACTTGACGACAACGTCATAATCCAAGATGGCAGTGCAGTGCATCAACAGTAAAGAGTAACAGTGAAAGCTATCGTAATGTAGGATTTATTAGGACTTCTGTTTTGTTTTTGTAAAATTAAATAAGTGGTATATGTTGTACTGCCCAACGTCTAACTGTGAACATGGTGCTATGGTGTTTGTAGAGTAAAATACTGTGTTATGCGTTGTTTACACAGACTGTATATACTATGGACAACTTGGTTCCGCCTTCTGCCAGGATACAGATTTGAAGCCAAAAAGCTCTCGGTATTTCCGCGTTTTCGTTCCATTTCCTGAAACCAACATTGCGCAGTAGCGTTGTTCACATTCGGAGGGAGAATCGCCAAGAGTCGCTGTGATGACGCTCGGCTCAAACAGTGTATCCCCCGGGTGAGCTACACAATCCTTGTACGCCCATAGGCTGTATCAGGTGTCAATCATAGAAAACATGACCCTCCTAATAACTTTTAATAATGGAGCTGCACCAAAAAAAAAGAGGACTTGAGCACAAACCAGTCTTACAATAACTATATGTCAACATCGCAAGCAGGGGGGAAAAAATTTATGTTCTGTGTAATAAGTTCGTCCACAGCCCCATAATAAATGGATGGCGGAGGCAGGATTTATGACCTATCCTGCAGCCCGTCACCAGAGGGTGCTGTTCTTGCGGTGGCTTCACCTAGCAAGGAGGCAGATGGCATCCATTCTATATACAGTCTATGGTTGTTTACAACTGATACAGCTAACAGCAACTAACTGACAGCTGACAACGGCTAACGACAGCTGACAATTGTAAACAACAGCTAAAAACGGCTGACAGTAAGCGTCCATCTTGGTTTTCCAACTTGTTCACTGGAACACAATCAACTCAAATGTAGTGTCATTCCCAGCTCTGACATCTGACTTCTGAGGTAACTGGAACGCAGCGATATACCAGTCCAGGATCAGAAAACTGGCAGGTAACATCACAAATTGTTTAAACTCCTCCCCTTAGTTTGGTGTTACAGATTACTGTACGCCAAAACCAGCCGACACAAAGACAGTTTCCTTCCCTGGGCTGTTGTTCTGATGAACTCAAAACACTCAGAGAGCAGCAGAAAGTTCACTGTGGCTGTAAATAACTATTATAAGGCTTTAAAAGAACAAGTTTATTTATCTTCCACTATCCCACCAACAGAAGAGAGATCTTGTTTTCAGTCTCTTGTCATATGAGAGCAGCGATAGGAGGGTAAAACGCTGTGTTCTGCTCCCCTCACCCCTTATATTTGCCTGAGCAGCAGCTTCAGCTGTTGAAAAAAAAATAAAGCCAATGGAAGCACAGCTGGCCTAGCAGTCCAAGTGTGCATCCCATATTCAGTGGTTTTGCCTCATCCAGGCAGCCTGGGTTTAGTTCCAGCCAAAGGCCACTTACCTTCTTGTCACTCCTCAGTCTCTCTCCCCCATTTCCTGCTCTATTCACTCTCCTGTTCTCACCAAAAACAGGCAGAAAAAAAAGCCCCAAGCTAATGTGGAAAAGATTGTGGTTCCTCAAGTGTCCACTTGAGGCTGTCTCAAAAAGCCAAGGAATCAGATGGTATGTGTGCAGAGCCGTATGCTATAGTCACAGGACTGCAATTCTCTGGTACTCATGATTTGTTACAAGTCATGATTAAGATCAGGATAAATGTTATTACAGTCAGACACAAAAAGTAGTGACATTTTCTTACAACACGGATCACAGATAGGCCGTGTAGTTGTTTTATCTTAACATTTGATCCATCATCTATGAGTTTTTCTTATCTTTGTGACCTGGTGCATGGTTGGGAGTTAGCATAAGGTGCTTTATTTAGGGGTTTACAAGTTGGTTTGTGACATTCTCGAACTCGACATCCTGTTGAGGTTGATCTCTGTTCAGCATCACGCGTGTTTAGTGCAGCCTCCATCAGAAACAGACTCTGTGCGTATCTTTTGCAGAGTGGGTGGGGAGCTGAGACATGCTTTGGCTCTCCTTATGGACGAGGGAGCATTGACTTGAATGGGCAATGATCAGCTCTGGAGTGTGTGGCGCTGATAGAGCATGGCACTCATCCTGTGGGTTTCTGGCTTTAGAGATAACCTTCCCAATTATGCTGAACCCCATCCTTGGCCTTCATAACACCTTTTTAGAAACTAATGGATGATGTCACTGAGTAAACATGGTTTGGTCTTGTCTTAGAAAATACACTGCGGGTTTAAATGAATGTTCAGAAATGTGCATGTAGGATTCAGACAAACAGATGCTACCGGGCTTCTATCAGGTACATGTAATATACTGTGTGCAGGTGTATCATAAACTTACAGGTGGATATTTTGGTAACACTTTATTTGACGCCTTTTTCTATAACGCATTGTAATATATATTTATAATGCTTTATAATCACGTTATAGCACTGTATAACTATAGCACTCATAAATGATAATAATGCTTTATAGCAATAATCATAACACATTATAAAGCATTTTATCATGACTTACGAGGTCAGGTATTATAATGTGTTATAACTGTTAACAACAGTTTCATTGCATTATCTATGTGGGCATTGTTAGTGAGTTGTTAACAGTTATAACACATTATAATACCTGACCTCGTAAGTCATGATAAAATGCTTTATAATGTGTTATGATTATTGCTATAAAGCATTATTATCATTTATGAGTGTTTATAACTGTAGTTATACCGTGCTATAACCTGATGATAACGCATTATACATATATTTATGATGCGTTACGGAGATAGGCGTTGAATAAAGTGTTACCAATAATTTCTTTGACACTTGGACAAATATTCCAATTCACATTAGGTTCACTGAAGGACGTGTAATTAGCATTCAAAGTACATTTTTAGTGCTGTCCAATGATTAAAAAAATTAATGATTAATCACAGGGCTGCTGTGGATTGATTTTGATTCATCACGATTAAATATTATTTAAATATATATTAATCGTATTTCATTCTGTATGGGCAAAGAGACTCAAGACAGCCAAAGTGCTTGTAGAATCCCTGACTAACATATGCTTCATGTTAATGTGGTATTTTAAGCTGGAAGTGCTTCAGTGTGAAGAAAACTTCTTCATGCCTTATTGAGTGTTTTGGAGCATGTCTGTATACCGGGTCAACTGCCCATTTCCACATGCGCAACAGTAACGCTGTTTGGACAAACTAGCTGAAATGAGTTTCCAGAGATTTTTTCAGGATTTTGAGTCATTCATGATAATGGATTAATCTGCCTTAACAAATTAATTTTGACAGCCTTATACATTTTATTTAATTAATCTCATAAAAAAACCCATAAGATTGTAATTAAACATTTCATTTCATGTCAGACAGTGTTTCTGCGTTTTAAATCATTTTTAAGCTATAATGATTTTAGTAAGGAGCACTAGTAAATGGGTATTTCAGGCATGTGTGTGTCAGCGAGCATGGTGTCCCTAAACAAGTACACAATCTGCTGAATCTTACTGTCTGTTATCTGCAGCTGGCACTCGGCTGCCTCGCTATCAGTCCCTGCAGCATATGCTACCAGGTGTTCTCTCCCTCCGAACGCAATCTTTCATCAAGGTAACCCGACTGCAGACAAATTAATTAGGAGAACATCAAGTCAACAGAGCCAGGCCCAGAAGTTGAAGGTGGTGTATCAAAGCAAAAAGCCAGATTTCTTGGCTTCTGTACCTGTCTTCACCCATCTCACGATAAAACCCTGTCTCTATTTTACTAAAGCTCTTGTAAAACATCAACTAAAAAAAGAAACACGCAAAGAAGGGATGCACTTCAAGACATCAAAAATCCAGTGTGTGCATTTTGTTTGTAGGAAAAGAAATGACTTGGAATCTATTAAATATAATGTATAACTTATGTCTTTAAAATATGACCATGCTGAGAAGGATACTCAGATGGTCGCTTTTGTAGCAGCAGCAGCTTACACCCTATAATTAAGCGTATAGCTTGGTGGCCACCTCTGCTGGCTGTAGTAATTAGAAGAAAAGGTGGGGGAAGTCTGGTAAAAGACGAATCAGGTCGGGGATGGAGGTGAGGATGTGGTATCGAAACACAGAGCTCTGACTCAGGAGGTTTTAAAGTTCTCTGGGCGAGCTGCATGTGATCTTGCATACATTTTTTTTTTTTGCAAAAGTCACTTATGCCCAAATAAGGACACATTTCAGGTGGATGCAAGCAACAGCTTAGAAAAATACATGGGAGGGACAGACAGATGGACCCCTGATTACAGCACTGATCAGGAGAAACAATAGTGCATCCTCTAACAGTCAAAGAACTTAGGACAGAAGATGGGCATGATGAGAATCATCAAAACAGCCACTGGACATTTAGGTGGGTGCAAGCGACTGCGCAGCCTACAGGCAGCTGCAGACATGCCCGGGCTTGAGTGACTGATTGATGATGATCAAGTGCAATACAAGTCAAAATTAGGTGAAAGGGAAAAAAGTCTTTCCCCCCTCCCCGCTGTCATAGTGACAAAGTAAAAATAGTAGTAGCGGAGATGCTTCTGTGAAATGTAGTGGAGTAAAAGTATACTTTTACTTTCAATTGAACTTAGTTCATTATCCAAAAAAATGAACTGGTTCACATTTGTTTTTTTTTGTTTTTTTTTAGCTAGAAGTTATCTTTTTCTGTAGAGCCATTGATGTTTTATTCCTTATCCTTCAAGACAGTTTCCAAAACAAATAAATCGTTGCATGCTATTAGAGCACCACAGATATTCCGTTCAAAAACCAGTATTTTGCCTCCGCCGGTATAACATAAACTGCTGCTGCTAATGAAGTGTCACTGTATTAGCGGTGCTGCATGGAGAGTGCTGTAGAGCTGACTTCTGCTACCGTAAAACACGGTGATCGGCATCTCTCGGCACCTCCCGTCATCTCATGGATTGTGAGCAGTCGTTCACAACCCCAGGAGTGAACTACACTCAAATTCCTGTTCATGAGATGTAAAGTGAGCGTAAAGTTCATTCTCTTCTAGTGTTGTTCGCGCACAACACTGGAATTGAGACAATTGTGAAGGCAAAAGAAAGTCCAAGTATTTTTGATATGTTAGGGTGACCATAGTCTGACTTCCCAAAAAAAGGGCACGACTACGCGGAGGCGGAGTCACAGAATCGCGCAAAGTTAATTTTGAGAGTTTTCGGGTCAACTCGAGTGTCTTTTACGCGCTTCTAACTCAGTAAGTCCACGCGACACAAACTCGAAACTTCCGTACAAAACCGTGAACATTTGAAGGATTTTATAAACTTCCCTGGACAACACCAGACAAGGCTGGACAGCCCCCCAAAAAGAGGACAGGTTCGGGTAAAAGAGGACATATGGTTACCCTATATGTTGTCTTTGCACTGCTTCCATTCACACCTCAGGTTTAACTCTTCATCGATGTTTCTCACAGCACCACAACTCTTTAGAAATAGGGTTGTACTTTACTTCTTAATTTTACGCCCCAGTCTTTGAATAGTTGGAGGCAAAGGACGTGTAACAGGTGGTCTCCCAACATTTAATTTGCACACTTTCAATAAAAAGGCTTTCATCATGTTTCTGTTGAAAAAGGCAGTTTTTAGATGAGGAACACGATACACTGGATGTTTGTAATTCACAAGTTATAGACATGGCTGGTTTTCAGGTGGATGTGTTCCTGTACTGTTTGTTCATTTGTCATATTAAGGTGAAATTTTCACAAAGAAGAAAAAGTATAAGTGACGATTTACTCAAAGGACTCAGAAGCGAGACTTTGACAGGAGTAGAGTGATCAGGTTTTATTCCAAACAGAGTTGTTTTGTTGAGTTCGAGCAACTGAGATTGCCCAAAAGTGAAAGGGTTGCAGGCTGGAGGTGGAGGCGCTGAGGGTAGCATGGAGATCACTGTGGCGACAAAGAGAAACAGGGTAAGTAAAGCAGACTGCGCAGGAAAAAACTTTGACAATAGTACACAAGCACACAATAAAGAACCTGGATACCACTTGTTAGGCTGGCACGAACTGGCAGCCCGCAGAAGCCTGAGCTTGAGCTTAAGAGCAGCTTCTCGTTGCCCCTGATCAGGGAAACCTGTGTCTCCATGCATCCACCGGCCACTGCTGCACTGAAACTACGAAACACACAAAAACAACCAACACAAACACACAAAAACCGAAAACGTAATTATAAATAATCAGAGAAAAAAAACGAAGAGTCCAAACCATGATTGAAAAATAAATCAGAAAAGAGCATTCTGAATCTTTGAGCTGAAATAAAAGTGGTATTCAGTTGTACGTCAGCCTTTATATAGTGAAGAGATATAAATGGCCAATATGAAAAGCCTGATTAAAAGCTTTCAATGATAAGTGCCCCCCTCACCCTCCTTTGGTTGAAGCCTTGTTTTAATGTGCCGTTTGTATGCCAGCTCTGGGATAAGTGAATCATTCTTTATTACTAATCTTACATATTAAGCAAATTATCATCATATGGGTTTTAGGACTCATTGACAACCTGCTCATCATCGTTTCCACACTATAAGACACACACATACACACGCCTCGCCAGGGGGATTGGCTCTGTGCTCCCACTCACAGTCTTTTCACTGTTGAGCTCTTAGCTAAATGGATCTCAGGGCTATGCACAGACACCAGTGACCTTCAGTCATTTAGCAGGCAGTATGATAGGAACATGATATCAACACCTGAACAAAGCGCAGTGTAAAGCACCACATCAAGCTGCTGTTTATTCATAGCGCAGTTGGTTGGGTCTGTCATCTAGAGGTCAGTCATTTGAATACTCCCCCATTACGGGCGAGCGCCGTCCCTTTGCCTTCCAGTTAAAACAGCCCCACATCAGCCACTTCAAAAGAGCCCGGCTTCAAACATCGCGTTTCCAATATGACAAACGTACTTCACAGCAACAGCTCAGACAAAATATGCAGCAGCTGCCTAACGTAAAGGATGAAACGTGTAAAAATCAAGACTGCGCTGCGCTTGTGTCAAAGAGGAGACACAGAGAGGCAGAAAACATGAGAGTGAGAGGAGAGGAAAGTGAGGCGGAAAGACGAGGAAGAGACAGACAGAAAAGACGGGAGATGGAGGAGAAAAGCCCAAACAGGCTTTGTTTTAATTACTAGTGCAGGAAAGGCGGGGAAAAGTAGAGATTTTTGCTCGTTAGACTATCGCTTTGGATCAAACACTATATTTACATATCAGATTACTCTGCTCCCACAAACGGTGAGATCTGAGCAGTGAAGGCACAGCTAACGAGAGGAAGCCATCTTTCCCGCTCACATTTGGTGGGGGGGAATAACACTGGCAAAACAACTCATCTCTCCTTATTAGAAAGACCAGCGGACAAAGATGTGATGAAGGCAGAACTGAAAGTAGAAGAGCTAGTTAGTGAAACATATATGGTACAAGTGAGCCGACAAACACCACATGCGCATCACATCCCAGGGCCGACTAGTTTGGGAAATTGGAAGACATAGAAGTGGACTGATGTCTTGATATTTAGCAACTCCTCCCATAGCCAGCCAATTAGGGGTCCTGGCAGGTCAAAGTGCATTATGGGAGGTGGTAGGAGTTTAGTTGCAGCACAAATTTGCTGTCAGAAACGACTCCCCCTGCTTTCATCCTGCCTTTCTTCTGCGGCCTTTATTCTCCCCTTCTGTAGAGGGAGAAGAGCTAGCTTTGTGGCTCAAGGGATCCAAACCACCGGCCGTCATTATTCCCTCTCAGATGCCGGTCTTTTCTCCACCCCCGCCCAAAACACCACCACCACCAGCTCCAGCTCCAGCCCCTCCAACCCCCCTCCACCCCCCCCACCCAAGACCCCCACGGGCCCACCCACCACCCCCTGCACAGACAGCTCCATGAGCTACAAGAGGCCGAGGCTGCAGCCGAGTCTCTGTTCTGTGTGGAATAAAGACTTCTGAGGGTGAAAACTCCATTACCACCGAGCCGCCGCTTCTCTCAGCCATCAAATAAGTGAGACAGAAAGTAAAGGACAAAAACAGCCTGTGATAAACAGTGATGACTGATTACTGGAGTGTGTCACTCTCTGTGTGTATGTGTGTGTTAGTCAACCCGCGCTAACCCTTGCAAGGCTGCCTCCAAGAATGAAAATGTAAAGCGAAAGCAAATTCAGCGTCTATCGGAATAACAATGGAAGTGATCGCAGCTAACAATCCGAATCACTAGGCGCAGGGATTTGAAACATATGTCATGTTGTTGCGCATCAGTGATAAAAACTAATAACAGTATTCCCTGACTGCACTGTATGAGTGAGATTCAGACACAAAGCCCTAGCAGAGAGAAAATCCCCCCACACATCCTCCTATGTCAGATATATCAGCAATGCTAATGCCCGAGCAGCATCCTGCGCCGCTTGCCCTGAACTGCTGAAAAGACAACCATTTAGGCTTTAAAAGACACACATAAACAAAAAAGGAAGGAGGGGATGAAAAGAGAGGAAAAAAGAGAGGAAAATGCAGAAAGGGGGGGAGAGAGGAAGAAAGAATAAAGGGGCCAAGGTGTGTGTGTGTGTGTGCGTGTTGAGGGGGGGGCTCAATTTCGTATTCTGAACCTGGCCGATGTAGTCCTCGGGGATCTGCCTCCGCACCTCAGGATCTGTAAATAATTGACAGATAATATTAATTGGCTTTGGATTAGTGAGCAAGCTCAGTATCACACATTAATATTTGATCAGAGGATGATAGGGACCCTGGCAGGGGATCCGAAGGGGCAGCTGAGGCTGTTTTGTTGATTAGGCCAGAGACGGGAGGAGACGGAGGCAAGTGGTAGCAGCAGCCGCAGCAGCAGCAGCAACAACAGCAGCCCCAGACACACGCACACGCACGCACATACACACACACACGAACGCAGATGGAAACACACAGCCGTGGTTTGATGCTCCCGTTAGCTCCAGGCTGCTAAACCTCCTACTGCCAGCAAACTGCCTGCTCCTTGTTTCGCCACAAAGAATAAAGACGGGAAAAAAAACAGTGGAGACTTCCGGAGCTGCTTTGATTGTTTTTTTTTTTTTTTTTTGTTTTTTTTTCTAGGATGTTTGAGGACAGTCTGGAAGTCAGCTAAGAGTATTTTATTTTTGTTTTCAGTTTTTTTTATTTTGTTTAACCAGGAACACATTTTCTGCACTAGCGGAACAAATCAGTGCCGGGCCAGGGGCGGGGCACATGATCAGGCCCTTTGAACCCAATTTGGCTCATGATAGTATCACTTATATACATATGTCTGCAACTTATGGCTACGTCATTTTGAAGTCAGTTAAACAGACATAAAGTCTAACAAACAAGAGAACAACATAAACATCAGACCTGGCTCCTTATAATAAAACAAAACAACAAATTCAAAGGTATTGAGTTGGTATCTGTGGCGCTGAACTGACTCATCTGAGGTTCATGTCCAAGAGCACAAACAAAATATGAGTCTAATTTTGGTAATCTGGCTTTTCCTTGCTCTCCTTTTTCCTTTTTTTGCACTTTGTCGCTCCACTTATATGCTGATATGAACTGCCACTCATGTTTAGCTTAGTAATTAATGCTCCACCTAGCTTGAACTGAAAATAAAGCCAGTCATGCTGCACCACATTTTATTCAAAATGTTACACCTAACTTTTTGTAAAGTTTTTACCAACCATGACTCATCCTGACAAAGGCATCCTATATAATGCTGTGTTCAAGTACCTTGGAAGTCAGATGTCCGAGCTGGGAATAACGTCAAAGCCGAGTTACCAGCATTTCAGTCTCCAGGTCATAAAAAAGCAAAATCGGAGGCGGAAACAAGATGGCTACATCTTTGAAATGTAGCCATCTTTACGATTTTGCTTTTTTCCGACTTTGTGACTGAAATGCTGGTAACTTGGGTGTGACCTCATTCCCAGTTCGGACATCTGACTTCCGAGCTAATTTGAACGCAGCATAAGCCCACACATATCCAGGACTTCCTTTTACGGTAATTTGGTTAATTTGGTTGGTATGGTTATTTTTTTGATAATCAGATTTTTATCTGGTGTCGGTGTAGAATTTCAATTTTCCCATAGTGGTCAAATTGCTGAGTCCCCAGAGTTAACAGCCTATCAAGACTAATGCTGCTTTCCAGTTGTTCTGGGAAGTCCGAATGTTTAAGTTCCTAGTTGGTTAATTTATCTGTAACGCCCCTCTGAAGTGGGATTGCTGACTCAGAAAGTCGGATGACCCTCACCCACCCTGACTTGATTGCAGTGTTATCATCCAAGATGGCACCATGCATCAGAAACCAAGAGTAACAGTGAAAGCTCTCTTAATGTTTTATTTATTAGCACTTCTGTTTGTTTTTGTGAAATTAACGAAGTAGTATATGTAGTACTGCCCAACGTCTAACTGCAGACACAGTACTAAGTATGAGTAAAATACTGTTATGTGTTGTTTTCAACTGGTATAGCAGAAAACAGCCAACAACAGCTAACAACGGCTAAATGTTAGAACACGAGGCATCCATCTTGGTTTTTCTTTTTTTTTTAGGAATTCCAGTGAAGTTTTTGTTTGTTTTTTTCCATTTCAAACAGGCGCTGTCGCTGTAAAACAAATCCATCGTGTTTATTCTCCCAGCTTTTGAGAAACAGTCTCCAACTGACATCAAGCAGAACCTGAGTGTTTCGTTACAGCTTAAACTGCCAAGAAGTACTTGGTTGATTCAATTCCAGTTGACATAAAGTACATATATATTCATGTCTTTTTTTAGATGTAATTTTGGCCTTTATTGACAGGTATGCGTCAGTGGATAAAGCAGAAAACAGGGGGAAGAGAGCAGGGATGGATAGGATCCACAGGGTGAAATTGAACCCGGACTCCTTGTGCAGGCAGGGGGGTAAGGGGTGCGCCTAGACTGCAAGGCTTTTGGCAAAGTGCATTTTACTTTTGGGGCAGCTTTAGCTTAATAGTAGAGTCAGTCATCTCCCAGTCAGAAGATCAAGGGTTTGATCCTTTGGCCGTCCAAGTGTCTGTGGGTTAGTCACTTGGCCCTACCCAGCCCCACCCAGTAGTGTGTGAATGGAAATAGTCAAAAACTGATGGACTCTATATATACCAGCCTTTGCCATCAGTGTATGAATACGATGTGTAAAGGTGAACGTGACATGTAATTTAAAAGTGCTTTGAGCGATCAAAGACAGGAGAATCCACAACTAAAACATAATCCATTTAACATTTTGATTTGTCGAATAAAACCACCTGGTAAATAAATGTGTGATTCAAAGTGCAGTGGTGTTGTTTTCCATCACAGTGGCAACAAACCAAGGTGTTGAAATGTCATGGGATAAAAAAAATACTGTGAAGGAAACAGGATTTTTTTTCTCATTGCTTACCTCCTTCACAGAGTTTGTCATTATCTCATTAAATCACCTTTATTTGTACCATTTTGACTTTTTGTTTATAATCAGCTGTGTCAGTCTTTTATTTAGAACAATACACAAAAACATGCAAATGAAATCAAAACCACTGTTAGGATTTATGGCAGAACTTAAAAGCAGACTTACACAGGTCTTGTTTTCAAAAACGTACCATTAATGAGGATGCAAGGTTACAGGAAAGATGGTAAGGGTCCTAGAGTGCAGAGGGAGAGGTTGGTGTGAGGAGGAGGTGGTGGAGCTGGATGCAGGTAAGTCTTGGAGACAGGGAAAACAGGTGTCAGGTAGGGTGAAGGCAAGCAGATAAAACTGGTAAAAGTTTATGAAAAAATGTATAAACTTTTAAAGTAACTCTTACCAGCCTAAAAAACTTTGTCCACAAAGTGACATATCATTAGGGGGTGGATTTATTTAAAACATCCAAAATATCACTGAATTTCTCCCGAGCATCTAGGAGACATAATGTTACCGTGAAGCTGCAGGATATATCCTCCTGAAAGAGCCATGTGCAGAAATCTCATTTGAATAGAAATAAAAGAATGGGAGTAAAAAATTAGGAGTTAATGTGGAGGTGTGCAGTGTTTCCTGCAGCAGCACTGATTCTCAGAGTGGGTAAAAACAAACAAGACAGATTTACGCAGCAAAACAAGCTGGCAGACATACACGCACAATTAAACTCATGGAGGCTAATTAAAGTGTTACTGGAAGCACGCAGCTAGAGTGTGACAACATAATGAAAGATTGAAGAGGGGAGGAGAGACACGGGACCCCCCTTCACTGCAACCCCCGTCCTTTCTCTCTGAAAACAATGCCACCTCTCCCTTTCTCCACTCGCCTCCTCTCTCTCATCTACCATATGCTGCCATTTGTTTAGTCAAATCCCCTTTAAGCAGAGCAGATCTATGGCTCTGAGGCACTGCTTTGCTACAACCCAGATCACTCTCCATAGACACATCAGCAGCTCGTATCCCTCATGGCTGTGTCACTCGGCCAGCTAGAAGAGTCTCTTGGGAGCAGCTTTTTATTGCTTTTCCACATCATTTGTCTGGCGATTATAGCAAGCCTCTCCTGAACCAGGGGAATAATCACAATATTTCAATATAAAGATAGCAGGGCTGAGGGAGAGGAGGGCAGTTTGGCTTGGAGATTGTTTCAGCGCCACGCTGTGAAGAGGGCACTGATAGGACGAGTTATAGATCATCTGCTGACACAAATGACTGTTTAACATTAGAAGAAGACCTCTGTCAAAAGTGCCCAGCCTGTCCAACACATACTCAAAGTGGGCTTGATTTGCCTGCCCGCTTCTCCCTTCTATAAGGTTTATCTATTGGAGAATGTACAGAAATCATTAGCAAGATTTTCTTTATATGTCTGTTGTTACCTAATACTATAAAGTCATTCTTGTAGTTCTTTTAATCACTGTGCTGTTCTTATCCCAATGCATGACACCTAATTTTTAAAATTGTACGATTATTATTTAAACTAAAAAAGGGAAATACAAGAGAAGACTGGCGGAAAACTGATCAATTACACCAGAATCACGACCAGTCTTCACTCTCTATTCGCTTCCATCATCATGCAGATTTCATCACCACAGAAAGAGTGAGTTGTAGCCAGTTTATTGGCTTTTGGATGGGAAATGTATTTGTTGTTTGGTAAAAGTGAAGTTACCAAGATATTTTTTTTTATATTTGATAGTTTGACAGTTTTCAATCTGATGATTTAAAGAGCTGGGATACTGTGGAAATTGTAAAAAAAAGAGTAAAGATTACGCAAAAAACAAGAACTTGATGGCTTGTTAATTGATTTAATGCAATACTAAATTAACAAAATTCCAGTCACTCAATAGTTCAGGACCTCGTGTGTTTTTGCTTCATATTTCATGTTTTCATGGGTGAAATATCAGGACTGTAGCAGAATCAGTTTATTACTGGGACGTTTCTACCACAGAGCCATGCAGTTGTCACATGTGCAGAATGTGGTTTGTCTTTGGCTTGTTTCCTGAAAAGAGTATTTTCTGGAGAGCACCATATGTTGCTTTAAAATCTGTAGATATTGTTCAGGATTAATGGACCCTTCCAGATGTTTAGACGACACATGCCATGAGCACTTACAGTATGTATCAACATATCATCCAAGATACAGGCTTCCTGATCGTCTGTTAAAACCAGAGTGTGTGGTTCCGCTCCTTTTTACAGTGACTACAGCATTCAGTAATAATGTCAAATGTGGACTTTTCGATCCCAGAACAGTTTTCTACTTTTCTTCAGTCCACCTTAAATGAACCCAGCGGAGAATGTTGCCGTGATCATGTTTATACATGCTTTCCTCTCAGAATGGTCCACTTTTAACCTGCATTAATGGAAGCACCAACAAACTGTGTTCACAGACTGGTTTCTGGAGGTGATTTTAAGCCTGTGCAGTGAGTTCCACTTCAGAGTCATGTCTGTCTTTAATGCAGTTCCGCACAATATGGTCATCCAGTATCTGTAACTGGCCTTGTCTCTGTTGTACAATGATTTCCCCAGATTCTGTCAATCCTCTAATGATATTAATTATAATAAAGATAAGGACATTTTGAAATTCTTTTCAATTTTGCGCTGAGGAGTATTATTCTAAGATTAATGAACTATTCTCATACAGTGTCTCTCAAAGTGGTGAACCTCTTCCTAGCTTCACTTTTGAGCATTTCTGCCGCTCTAAATTTCCCTTTTTATACTCAAGCATTTTACCAACCTGTTGCAAATTATCCTCATTAGTTTGGGATTTTCCTCCATGTCTTTTTCTTTCTTTTTATTTTTTTTAACACCGCTTTTTCAGCGTTTTGTTGTCCCTGTATGTCTGAACTATTTTGAGTGTGTTGCTAGCATCAGTTTTGGAGTAAGCCAAAAAAATTTCGTGAAACAGTTACACATTTTTTTTTTCCGTTTCAACATTTGATATGTCGTCTGTGCACAAATTTCAATTAAATATAAGATTTAAATGATTTTCAAACAATCACAATCTGTTTACGTCAGCATTTTTAAAGTGTCTCACCTGTTTTGAATCTGGGGTTATCATCACATTATTCTGAGTACAATTTAGATTATATGTGATTTTTCAACAAGGCTAGATAGGCTTGGTTAAATGGTATAAACTGAAGACATCTTTGAGTGAAAGTCTCTAATCATTTTTGTAGACATAAAGAAAAGATTTAGTCTATTATCTCAACAAATACAAGTATTGGATAAGAACTATTTAACTCAGTATTTAAAATATTCAGATCCAGAATGGAAGGCCCTCTCCGAAAGCCCTAAACAGCACTTTTTAGAACTATAGCTCAACAAGGGCAATCTGTTTCACAGAGGATTGCTTAGGACTTGTGCATGGACCCCATAATCCCATTGCTCCATTTCATGGAGTTTTAGCCAGGGGAGCTTATCCCCAGTATCTAACCCCTCACATATTCCACTCAGTAAGATGGGAACCAGACTGTGAAAAGCAGGGGACTGATGGGAAAGTTCCTGAGAGGGGCTGCTGAGTCTCATGCTGTTTTATAATTAAATCTAAAGAAGATATTAAGATATTACATTTTATGTGTTTAGGAAGGATGTTCCATTGGCCTGCTAGCTTTATCACTGAAAATAAACCAGGTTATATTTGCAGTATGTTTATCAGTTTACATTTAGGATTAGATCACAAACACAGTAAACATAGATTGATTGATTGATAATAGGAATTATTTCAAAATTAAGATGAGGTCTTTCAAAGGTAAATGGACACGTATTTAAAGGAATAAACCACCACTTTCGCTTGAATAAGCAACTCCAGTTTGTTTGTTTTGTTTTCAGTTTGTTTGTTCTGTTAACTGCACTCAAACTACATCGCACTTAATTCGAGTAATGATTTCACCATGTCCATCCTTACAGCTGCTAGATAATCTTCCGTCTCTGAGGAGAGTTTGACATGATGATAACACGAGCAAAAAATCAGAATTGAAATGACAGTCAAATATATTGCCTCTGGCAGCGAGTACAGGAGGGTGTCTTCTATCAGAAAGAAGTAAATGAAGAGGCTGTCAAACCTGAGCACAAAACTTACAATCCGTCTTCATCTGGAGAGGCGGGGTGGTTGGAGAGGGGCGGGGTGAAGGGTAAGTCCCTGGACCAGAGGGAGGGAAGCTGCTGTGATCCAGTCGTAGCCTTTGATCCCTGGAATGACCTGAGCCACCGGCTGGACTCTGGAAATAAACACACCAGAGGCCTGTGGGACCCAATCCATCACTGTTCAGTCCTGCACCGAGCTCTGTAGAGTACGTGTGTGTGTCTGTGAGAGTACACATGTGCATGCACACATACACACATACACACAAGCAGACACATTTAAGTGCTGGAGCAAATTAGTGGTGCAATTTGCTAGCCAAGCAACTCACTAATATGTCACTAAGCACTCCGATATAATGATACCTGATGTAAACTATTTTACCATACTGTATATAATCCATTCAAACACTAATGAGCAGGTTACACACACTGCTCAGAGCATTTTTTCCTTTAAAACATTAAAATACTGTGAATGACAGCAAGTTTGTAAAAATTTATCATTCAAGAAGAAATATCACAAAATTTGTTGCAATAAAAATGCAAAATAGGCACAAAAGCAGGCACAGACAGATTAAAGAAAGGCAGGTCTAAATGAGTACCGTATTGTTCGGACTATAACCGCACTTAAAATCCTTCAATTTCCAAAAAATGGACCATGTGCCTTTTAATCCAGCACGCCTTATGTATGATAACTTGTTGTGCTCACTGACCAATTTTATGTGGTACAATGCGCTCCTCAAAAATCTGTCGAAATGTGTAAGTACAACTTTGGTAAGCAACAAAACTGCTCAGTGGACATTCGGAGCATTATGTTACGTTGTGTCACTCGCTACCTGATCGGCCCCGTAACAGGACCCCTGAGCAGTCTACAAGGCTGCCTGACTGTAATGTCTAAACTAGAAGTGCATTTATGTAAGGCAGCCCAGGCCCGGAGGACACGCTAGCAACAATTAACCAATCAATACTTGATGCGCCGTACTATCCGTTGCGCCTTACGTGAAACATAGACACATTAATTCACAGTGTGCCGTATAATCCAGTGCGCCTTTTAGGTTACAGTCTTGAGTTTACTTCGCCACAGCTCAGAAGCTAATTGAATCACATGTATTCACATTTGCACAATACTCCCAGAATCCCCCCCCTGGAAATTTCTGGGTGAGCTGTACAGTGAATGCAAATTGCTAAAATTGTCACCCTGATATAACCTGCCAACCACTAAAGTTCAATTTTGGCATGAAGTCAAAATGAAGTTATCCGCAGCAGGAAAACATAGGGGAAATTCACCAAAAACACAAGTGGAGGTCATGACAAATTATTTTGTGTGAACCGGAAAGAGCAAAACTACCAGGGTGAACACGATTGCCAAAGAAGAATCATTTTCATAGACAAAGACAGCTTAGAAAAAGGCACATCAGTCTGTTTGGATGAATCACTATGTCCACCTGTTTTTAATGTGTTCATGTGTCTTGTTTTATTGTTTATGTTAATTGTCTGGTTCTTTTTATTTTGTTTTTAATTTTACTGTACAGCACTTTGGTCAGCGCTTTGTTGTATTTAAATATGCTATATCAATAAACCTGGATTGGAATCACTGATGTACATGTTTGTTGCAGCATGCTACTGCAGTACTATCTCTGGAGACTTCACACCTTCACTTCATGCTGTAAGAAAAGTGTGAGCATGCAACTTTTGAATACTCCAGGGGCAGAGCTCCTGAGACCTCTAGAAAATTTTAGTCGTGCACGGGGAAAAAAAAAAAACCCACTAATGACAACCTTTGGTCTTCAAGTGTTTACGCTTACTGTCAAACATAAGCATGAAACATTAGCACATCAGCATGGCAACCACTTTAAGAAAGCTACAAAAATTAACAGGTTTGCTCATATTATGAATATGCATGAACTAAAAATACCATTTTGTTTGAACACAAGCATGCAACTGAAGACATAAGAGCAGCAGCACTGCTAAATCTTTGTATTGATCACTTTTTAGTTCCTCATTTTCTTTCCATATTCTTGTTTGCACTCAACATGTGTGTGCAAATCACTACTGACAGTGGCTTTGATAAAAATCTGAGCAGGTCACTGTTTTCAAGTTGTTTTGCCAAGTCAAATCGAGATGTTTTCATGTATCACAACCATAGACTATATGTACTATGGACAACTGGGTTCCGCCTTATGTCATTATACTAATTTGAAGCCGAATTGCTGGTGGTAATTCCAGGGTTTTCTCCACTACCTGGAACCATCGCTTGCCCAATAGCATTGTACGCCTTCAGCAGGAAAGTCGCAGAGAATCGCTGTGATGACGCTCGGCTTAAACTGCGTATTCCCCGGGTGAGCTATGTAATCTTTGTACGCCCATAGGCTGTATCAAGTGCCAATCATAGAAAACATGAATCCCCTAATAACTTTTAAAAATTGAGCTGTACAGAAAAAAGAGGACTTGAGCACAAACCAGTCTAACAGCAACTACATGTCAACATCGCGAGCAGGGGGGAGAAAAAATGTATATTCTGTGTAATTAATTTCTAAAGTTTGTCCACAGCTCCATAGGGATTGCTGGAGGAGGCGGGATTAATGACCTATACTGAAGCCCGTCACCAGAGGGTGCTGTTCTTGTGGTGGCTTCACCTGGTGACAAGGCAGATGGTGTCCATTCAATATACAGTCTATGATCACAACCCACAGTTGCAGTTTTAATTTTTTGACCATGACCTCTTTTTACCCACCAGACTCCTCTTCCCAGGAGTGCAACTGGTTACAAAGATTTATGTTAAAGTTAACCCTCTTGTTTCATAAGATGGCTGCTTAACCTTGGTGTGGTTGGTGCATACTCTACTTGGAGTTTGGATAAAGGTGTACAGCGAGAGTACTTGAGTGTTCATTTACACAAACCCCTGAAAATGTTTCCCTATTGATTAGGGAGAATTATCTTTTTGATGCCACACAGCCCATATGGGTACGTTTTTATAAACCCTTAAATCTAAAATAAAATATTAGGTCTTTGTTTGGACCACATCCTATCGAGGTAAAAAAAACTTAAGTGAATTAAAGTCTCATTGAACCATATCCTGTCAGAATTAAAATCAATAAACAATCAAAATTACTAAACTAATATGAAACAGTTGACACAGTGATGGTATAAATGTGATTTGAACTAGGTAAAAATGAGTGGAAAAATAGGTCACAGGTGCTCAGCTTGAATTTCACCCAATATTGAGTAGAAATCTCTGGTAGCTACTACCTTAAAAAGCACAATTAAGAGAATAAAAATATGTCTTTAAGGACCAATCAGTTGTACATTTTGCACCTATAGTCATAAAAAACATGTAACACCAGCTCGTTAACCACAAGGGACTTAGCTCCATCACAAAGCCGACATCACCATCATGAGGAAAATCAGGTCTGATCCAGCACAGAGGGAAAAAAAATTCAAGATGTGACAAATCCAAAGACATCCAGAGTTATAAATGAACAGAAGAGAAAATTATGTATCACTTACCCAAAGATGAGTGTTTGAGCTTTGCAGTTGGGAGTGCATGCTAAATCTCATTAGACAGAGCAATACCCAGAGCAAATTAAACCATTAGCCTCCGACATGTTTAAAGGAACACTTTAAGATCACTTCCTATTAAGGCTTGCCAGTAAACAGGCCTTTGAAATGGAGCCCTCAACTCGGAGCAGAGCAGTGTTGCAGACATCTGCCATACCCAGCCAAGCCCACAGTAAACTGCAGGGGAATGCTTTCTGTGCTGCACATCGCTCCACATTAAACTCCACATGCTGGTACAAGGGGGGAACAAACCCTGGGGATTCATGGCCTCATAGAGCAAGAAATATATATATTTAAAAACAGACTCAGTAGCGTGATATTGATGTCTGCTGTGGGTTTAATGCGGGGCTTAACAGATATGCAGCATATTGCATGTGATTTAATCTGTATAGAGGGTGGTCTTTTTCACTCTGTTATGCCTATGATACTGATAAGGACCATATTGGATCCATCTACCAAACTACAATGGTAAACATTTAGACCTATATTCTTCCAAAAGCTCAAACTATAGGAGAAAACTATTCTGCTTTTCTCACAGTTTGATGAACCTGCAGCCTTATCAACACTTTGAACAAGTTTAGCATCTTGTTTTACTTCCTGCATCTTAACATTAAATTTCAGCTGTGCTTTTAACATAAAGAATCGGTTTCTTAAAAAAACACTCCCAGCTGCTGAAGTTTGCCTAATTCACGATGGAAATAGTGACACACCTCCTGAAGTTTACTGAGAGGAACCCACGGGGAGTAACCACTGTGTAAAAGCTCCACTTCTCAGAAGGAGAGCCATTTAAAAATTGCTAACATTTCTCCGGCGCAGTTTTAACGTATGGTCCGTAAATGTTTTCAGCTTCTCCCGTTGTTGTGGAGGTTGCTCTTCAAAGGCTGAGAGTGCTGAGGCAAGCTTAGCTCATAAAATCCTTCATGTAGCGCTCTAACATATAATTCACGGTCACTTTTTACAGAGGGATGTGACTCGCTGGTAAAGGAAATGCTTGGTTCTTATTTCACAGTGTTTTTGTAATGATTTTTCAAAGGCATATTGAGTATTTATCCAGACAAATAGTGGCTACTGTGAATAAACACATAATAAAAAAGTAAATAAACTCAGTATCTGCTTGTGTGCTTAGTTTGGCTTTTTTGATAGGTCATTATCAGTGTTTTGCAAGTAACAGAAAATTTTATTATTATTATTATTATTATTATTATTATTTAGTAACTACTATCAAACTGTAGATGAAATATTGAATGAGTTACAGCAATGTAAAGTCAAAGCTATATAGGAGAGTAACTTAAACTTATAAATCATTTGCCCTTCAATAGTTAATTTACTCATTAACAATAATAAGAGTGTTGTCCTGTCTTGAGCCCCAAGTCCAGGCAGGTATTTATTTAACACAAATGGTTTGCTTCTACCAAGTGGACTGGCTTGATTAAGAATCGGGTTTTGTTCAGTTTGGTATGGTAAACTGTATACAAATGGTGGATATATGCTGCATGATTCTAATGAAAACTCTAAGTGTACCCTGAGCCCATACTTGTGGTTTTGAAGTTATAAAAAAAAGTTCCTATCCAGGGGCTGCAGCCTTCAAAGGGCTCTGCAATTATGTCCTGCATAAACCAGTCAGGAAAAACTGAATGGAGATGGTCTAACCTCTGGAGACTGTGTGCTTGCAGTGCTATCCTGATGACGGTGTCACATATTTTCACTCTTGTCTCTTAGCAACAATGGGCTACTTGGCTAACCATCTTGCACCGCTAGCGTAACGTAAATTAGAAACCATCACCAACATTTCGAGATAATTTCAATTTCTGTTTTTACAGTTGATAGTTTAATAATCTGCTGTCTTGAGTACATTAATGTGCGAAGAATTACACGGTAAGTGGGGCTGGGGAGGAAGCATCGGATGCACTCTTCACTGCCTGGAAAAGACAGACATATTTGGCGTCAGTGTTTGGAGGAGCCATCCTAAAACTGGCAGCCTTTGACAAACCACTATGATGCAATCAGCCCACAACCGCGGCCTTCAAAGGCTACCATACCTGGACTTGGCTTAAGTGTGTGTGAAAATATGGTCTCCTTTTTTCTATTACGTTTTTACATTGTTTTACGCCAAGCTAATATCAACCAACACCACTCTTTTTATTCACTTCACCCAGATTACAAAAAAAAAAAAACTGTACTTAAAATTAAGCAAAAGCGACCCGATATTAATTGATTTGTGACATAGATAATTTATATTTTTAATTTGGAGATTTTCTGCTTAATGCACCTGAAATTTAAGGATGCTAGAGTTAAAACAATCAGTATTAGCACTACATATACACATTTAAGTGTGAGTAAGGCCTCTGAAAAATCTGAAAATGAATGCATCTTGTCTAAGTTTCCTTTGTGGATTTATGACTCATTGTTTTTTTGTTTTTTTTTCTTTTCCTCGTAGAAAGTTTGAATATCTGACTTTCCAACATGTGCAGGGAACAGAGTTAATTCTTTCGTATATAATACTTGTGTAATTTGAGGTCTGGTGTGGTTTGGATCCGAGCGTCAGCGGTTAGGCTCGGGGGAATTTCTTGTCTACCCAGGTTGAAGCCAGTTCCATGTGTTGAGAGCGGTTTTAATAGGGTGCTGGGGAGAAATAACACTGCTGAGAGGAGCAACCATAGGCTCTCTGCAGGAGGAGTGAGAGACAGTTGTGCCAGTCCTTGGTCAGAATCACACACATTCACATTCCAGTCTAACTGGATATTGCCCCAAAGTCCCCCTGAGGAGATTAACCACAGCTGAGTGTTAACTCCTTCCAGTCTGTTCAGCTACCTGTCTTTCACCAGCAGATCCCTGTTCCAACACCTCTGTCAGGTTCCTTCTGCTTCCATCACTTGACTTTTTCTGTGGAAATTGAAATGTTCCACTACCGACCTATGACAGCAGAATCCAAAGCAACTGTGTTTGAAAACCAAAAAGATTTCAAGACTGATACCAAAAAACTACGGCAGAAAAAAAGGTCTTTTGTGTTAAACTAAAAATAAGACTTTACTATACTTCACACTTTACTACACTTCACCATACACTCCTATACACTACAATAATACACTACACTATACTATACTACAGGCTACCATTCTTTATTACACTTTAAAATACGATACTATATTACACCATAAAATACTTTGCTATAAATAACTATAATATTCTATACCTCACTACACTACACTATAAAATACTATATCATACTATAAAATACTATAATATACTGTACTACACTACAAAATACTACACTCTATTATACTATAAATAACAGTACTATACTATACTTTACAATGTTGTACTGTACTATGGACAATACACTGTAAAACACTATACTATACTTTACAATATTGTACTGTACTATGGACAATACACTGTAAAATACTATACTATACTTTACTATAAATTACTGTACTATACTATACTATAAAATACTGTACCGTACGATAGACACTACATTGAAAATACTATAAATTACTGTACTATACTATACTATAAGATACTGTACTCTACTATAGACACTACACTGTAAAATACTATACTATACTTTAAAGTACCTCACTTTACTATACTATTAATTACTGTACTATACTATATAAAACTACACTGTACTATACTACACTACTATAAGTTACCATACTGATACATTATTCGTCACTGTACTGTGATGCATTATACTCTACTTCACTACTCTATACTACATTATACTATACTACATTATGGACTACACATCGCCATACTACTCTGCACCTTACTGTACTGCACTATGCTATACTATAATATACTAAACTATACTATACTATTAATTACTGTACTACACTACAGACACTAAACTGTAAAACACTATACTTTAAAGTACTATACAGTACTATACTATACTACACTATACTATACTATACTATACTATACTATACTATACTACTACACATTGCCATAATACTATACTATTCCACACTTCACTGTACTGCACTATACTATACTAACTATACATCTCTTTGTGTTATTTCTTTCAGTGCTGACACAGTTAGGATGCAGGATGAAATCTAAAAAGGTTCTTGTGTTTTTAAGGAATAAAATAATCTTTTAATGTCAGCGATCTGCAAAAAAGGACTGCTTTAATAATTTGCCTATTAGTTGATTGTAGCTCATTTGTATGCCTTGAAACTGTAGCAACTAATTTGAGCTTTGCCTCCTAATGTGAAGCTTCTGCTTAGTCCGAGAAACCGAGAAATGCCAAAGTGAAGTGCAGTAGTACACTTGAGTCAAAATTCATATCAGCCATCGCTGTCTCTGAATGTAAAGCTTTTCCTTTAAATAAACAGAGGCGTTAAACTCAATCTTACTTTGCTGCTATTGCTCCGGAAAGTGTCCAACAACAGAGAACTTGACACTTGTTGAGACATGTTATTGTGAAAAGTGAGGTATATTCCCGATATCGAGTCCAAGTTTCAGCACAATGATACCTATCTTTTTTTACTTTACAATCTTCTTCTCTAAATAAAAAAATGTAGATAACTGTGCAGGTTCTAGTCAGTTACTCAAACAGAGCAACAATTAAAACAATAAATGATATATGGCAAAAAATATGTGCAATAGCTACTAACAAAAATATCATGCTCATAAAAAGCGGAGTGATATGCTGAGGTCAACAGTTGAAGTTAACGGTTCTTTATTTGCCTTGAATTACAGTATGAAGAAGATGGTTATAAATTATTACTAAGTAGGTCCAGTATATTTAGTCATTTTAGACAGAACTTATAATACAGCCAAGCCCGTGTCTTTATTTTCTAAAGGTTCAGTACTGCTCCCATATGTTTGCGTAAGCCCTCTGTTAACTTTGATGTGTGCGCTCTCCGTCTGTGCTCCATCAGATCGTTCTGTTTTCTTCCTCAGTATGGTTCAGACAGGCAATGATAGACTGAGTGTCATTTTTGTCTGACCTGCCGTAACCTCCC